TTTAACTCAAAAATAATCTATGCTTATGTCAATATATACAAAAAAATTACTCCGCTTTGGAATTTATTATAAGCCTTCTTAAAGGTATAGAATATGATGATATTACGATAGTAAAGAACGATATTAATAATCAACAACAAGTATAAATTATGATTCCATTTTAAGTGATTTAGAACAAGAATGTCATATCCTTCTCGGAAAACGCCATTCACGATATATGGATGTTCTTAATTTCTGAAGAGAAAAAAAGATCAAACTTCCTAATCTTTCTGCGCTAGCTAAAAAAAATTATTAATGTTACGGTAACTAACACACTTAGTGAAAGAGTAATCCCTACAGATGGGTTGACGTCGAATTCAAGGAGATCATCATTATGCCCGAGAAATTTAAATAAAATTATTTTTATACATGATAATTATAAAATTACAAAATCAATTTTGAATATGTTATGAGTTTTCTCTTCAATACTAAAAATATGCTGAGATATCTGGAGTGTAGTGTATATTTTAATTTAATTTTTCTTAAAAAAAATAATCAGCAATTAATAAATATATGTTTTTTTTGGAACTCCCGCCGGCCGTCGATTATTTTGTCAGCGCACAGATCTAGGTATATTACATAAATATATATAAAATAAACCCTCCACATAAATGTTCGTAATACTGAATACCTCCAATATCAATCTTTTCACATTTGCATCTTTCGCATTTGTTTTGCAATACCATGTAGCCTATTCGATATATTTTGTTGTATATTTTACATCCATCTTCAAACAAATTTTCAATATAATAAATATGATTTTGATGTATTACGTGGTGTTATAACATTAATTTAGCAGACCTAGATACAGGGATTTAGTATTAAATCTAAGGAATCGAATTAAATTTTAGATTACTACTTTAATTAATATTTAATAGATTTGAATATTTTTCAAGTTTGAAACTGGTTTATAGATAAGAAATTGATATTATGTTACTTAAAAAAAGTATATATCATAAATTGGTGTTAGGAAACAAGTCCGCAGATATATAAGATTAAATATGAGAGTTTTGAAAATTTTTGATAAAAATATTTTTTTTAAAAAAAATACACTACCTAGTTATATCATATAAATATAAACGAATCCTATCGGGAAATATTTTTTAGATTACCAGTGTTATATTATGTAACAACCGTGTAACCTATGGGGGATGGGGGGGGGATTTGCAAATTTGCCTTTTTTACCTAAACATAGTTTTCATAAATATACCATTTATTATATACTCTGCCGCGAATTCGTGTTAACTATCAGGGTAACCCTTTTCACAGTTAGCACAAATTTGTGTCCGAGAATTCAAAAATTTAGAATTTTTTTATTTGCCGTGAATTTGCGCCCACTATGAATGAGGGGTAAGGCATTTTTTTTGAGTAGAATATAAGTAGTTTTTTTTAACAAAAGAAAAACAATATTATTATATATTTTTCTAAATTTTATTAATCAATTATTTAAGTTAGTTTTTCAAATCGAACACCCAAGAATTTAGATTATTTAACACCTCTTAAAAGGAGTTATATTAGTATATATTTGTTTTTTTACCATTTTAATTTTTTTTTTATAATTATCAGTTTGAAACCTGAATTAAAACGACCTGGTGTTCCTGAAAATTTAAATAAATGAGAGTTCTTAGTTCTGGTTCAATTCCTAATATGTCCCGATTCCAAGGGAATCCATATTCTATTTGTTTCGAACTCTGATCGTCGATTAAGCTGAAAAAGGTAATGATTTAATTTTTATTTTAAAATTAACGTTTACAGAACTGTTAAATAATATATATATATATATTTTTTAGAATTATACTTCTAAAATTTAGAATTATACTTCTAAAATAAAATAAATAAAAAATATTTAAAAAAGTTTCTTACTTGCCGTTGCTTTAGTATAATTATAATAATAATAAGATGATATGTATACAAATGTTTGCAGAAATATTAAAAAACTTAAAGCATTCATAATTGATAACAAAAAAGGAAATGATTGTTAAATGTTTATAGTTTATAATGCTCCTTTTCTAAATATAAGATTTTTTTTCTTTTAAGTAGTTTAAATAGTTCTTTAAATTTTTTTGCTTTATTTTTTTTTTGCATCTCAAATAATATCGTCCCAAAATTTTTTTAAAAAAGGAAAGCTATAAGCATTTTTTTAAGATATCTTAAATAACTAGATATAATTTTTGGAAAAGTCAATCAAAAAATTTCAGTTAAGAACTAGCAGGTTATTTTACTCTTATCCCTAAATGGGAGGACGTCTCATCCATCTTTTCCAAATCAATTTATCCTACGCGGGACCTGCTTAAACACCTATTTTTCATCTTCTATCGAAAGTAGTTCGCTATATCTTAGTGCAAAATAAAAGATATTTTACTAAATCCGGTATTTTAAATAATTTTATAGCGGGATATGAAAAAAAATGATTATAATTTTTACCCCCCCCCACCCCCCCCCCCAGCCTCAATAATCACGATTAAATAAGATGAATGTGATGGAGATAAATAATTATGATATTTCATAAGTGGGCTTGGTATTAAAAAATTAAATTTTGCCGTACATGAATGCTTTTTGCCAGGGTTGTGAATCAAAATCCGAACCTTTTAAAACCTCGATATTTTACTAAATTCAAACTCGAACCCTTTTCATCTTTTTTTAAATAAATATAGAAAAACATGTAAACTTAAGCAACCATTGATAATATATTTATATATATATATTAGGAATATTTAATGTTGAATTTCTAAATTAAAAGTAAAACCAAAGAAAAGACAAATTAACAAGGTAAAAAGCTTTATTAAATGTAAGTTTCAATGCAATGCAGTGTCAAAATTAATGATAAAAAAATAGATATTTTAAATTTAGCCCTCGATTATGGGAATGATAATAAGTTTATAAAATATTAAAAAACAAAATAGAATATCATTTTTTAAGTTGTATTGTATTATTTTATTTATTATTATTATTATAAATTATTTTTATAGAGAATGCTAAATATAGACTGGACCACGAACCCTGAACCAAAACATGGTTCAGAGATGAATGAGAACCCGAACCTGAATTTTTGAGAAGGAGGGTTCAAAGTCCTAATTTTTATATTCGCGAGTGATTCTCGTATTTTTAAAATAATTATTATAAAAACCTTAAAGGGAAATAAAATATAAGATTTTATGCAAAATTAAAATTACAAACTATTTACTATTTTTTTTAGTATTAATTAAAATTTGATTAGAGTTTTTTAAGGTTTGAACATATCTTTTAAAAATATTTCTCCTATGCAAAGTAACCTTAAATTTTATAGCGGCAAAAGTTTTAATCTAAATGAAAATTAAAAAAGTAATATAAAGGTATTGCTAGTAATTTATATGTACTATCTTTTTTTTTATAAAGAAAATACAGTTTTATTTTATATTGTCAGAATTGTTTATCTTGTAAATTTGGTTTTCTAATTTTAATAATAACTTCTTTTTTTAGATAATTTACTAAACGGATTAAAAAAATAAGCTGATTAAAATACATTAGATAAAAATTTTTCATGATAAGTCCTTTCAATTGATTTTTATGCATTAAGACAAATTTTATTTTTTTACTTATAATAATTTTATTTTTAATAATTAATAAATTGATTAGGACACTAATGGATTAAGAAGAACAAGTTTTTAACTGTTTGGCCAACTTCACTGAGCTGATGATAATGAACAAATTAGTCTCTTCTATCAATTTTAAGATATCGTAATTTTGATATAGGTATTTTATTCTCTGCAATGAAGAAAAGGTTCCTCTAATTTGTGTTTGTACTAATTGGTAAAATTTTCAAAATATAAAATAAATTTAATTAATTGGAACACTTATAAAAGATATCTTAAAGAATGCAATGCTTTCACTATATTTATTGGAGGGTTATCACAAAAATGATTCTTTCATTCATACTATTTAATTCCAAAATTAATTGGCCCTCAAATAAATTAATATCCTATGAATAAAATTTAGTTAAACATTAAATTTTTCAATATCAAAATTTGCCATAACCACAGATCAGAGGGAGTTTTAAATTATAATATTTGTAAATTGGAAAGATATTTGATAAATCACAAGTCATTCATTGATTTGAGTCAAAATTAAATCCAAAAGTAGAATACAAACGCCTATTCCATAATAATCCTCAATTGAGTCTACGCTAATAAATCATTTGTTTCGGTGAAAGTTGAGACTTATGTCTCAAAATTATATAATTTCGCTCTTGAAAAATTCCTGGTAGATATTATCTTTTCGTTTTCTAAGTTAAAATATAATAATATTATCGATTCTCATAATTTCTGCTAAATCTTTTTTTTTTTAATTTTAAATAAATGTGTAATTATTAAATCTAATAATGTATCTTCTTCAGATGAAATACTTGTTTCAGTGATTCTGATATTTTTCCAAGGGTATACAAAATAAACTCGTCTAGAGTTAAAAATGCTGTAGAACCTTGATTTTAAAGGCTCAATCTTGTTGTGCAGGCTTTTACTGTTTTTTCCCAGTAGCACAAGAAGTCTTAGAAATAATTATTTCACAAATTCTGCTTTTTGGAATGTGAACATTTCACTCGAATTATAGCTATTAATAGAGATAAATTAAATAGAAGTTTTCTGGTTGTTTAAATGTAATGTAATCAACTTTAAATTTTCTTGAGATAAATTATTAGCATATATACAAGAATTAATTTTAACATTTTTCTAATATATAAAATAGAATATGACTTATTTGAAATCAATTCATGAAGCCCTTTTATATTTTTTCAAAATTTCTTGTTAGAGAGGGGGTGGTCTCCCTTTCTCACTAGTTACGCTTCTGAGCCCTTTTATATTTTTTTAAACTATGGGTGGATTTTTCCCTCTTTTCCCCCTCTCCGCTGACTACAATCCCAAAAGGTTAACCAGTTCATAACTGTCAAATATAACTTGTCAGCTCACTTACAAGTTGCATTCTTTCTGTAAAAATCCAGTTTATTTCGGATAAAAAATGTTAAATGCTATTAATAAGAAATTAGATAATTTTGATTACCCATATTGCCCTGATTGCTTCACTAAATATGAAAAAATTACAAAGATTGGCCAAGGCACATTTGGGTAAGTAATATAATTTTATAATACTATAAATATTTGATAACAGTGAAGTTTTCAAAGCTAAAAATAAGAAAACCAAACAATTAGTTGCTTTGAAAAAAATTTTGATGGAAAATGAGAAAGAAGGAGTATAATTATAAATAAAATATTTAATGTTAATAGTTTCCTATAACTGCTTTACGAGAAATAAAAATTCTACAATTGTTAAGGCAAGAAAATATTGTCCATCTTATAGAGATCTGTTTAACAAAAAGTAAATTGTTTAAAAATAACAGACTTTACTTGCAGCATAGATGCACAGAACAAATCTAAACCAACCTTTTACCTAGTTTTTGAATTTTGTGAGCATGATTTAGCAGGACTACTAAGTAATCTTGCGGTAAAGTTTTCATTGGGTGAAATCAAAAAAATTATGCAACAACTATTGAATGGCCTTTATTTCATACATAGCAATAAAGTACTATGCCTAATTAATTTATTATGATTGCACTGATATTTTTTTTGAAAAATGATTAAAAGCAAATAAATATAAATTTATGACTTCATATTAATTTATTGATTATATTCCCACATTCAGATATTGCATAGGGATATGAAAGCAGCCAATATATTGATAACTAAAAATGGTGTGTTAAAATTGGCAGATTTTGGATTAGCACGTGCTTACAGCCTTGGCAACCCAAATAGTAGTTCTGCTGGAAATAATTCTAAAGGTTTACCTTTTTAATTGGGCTCTATTAATGTCAGAGAACTGCAAGCCCAGCCTGGATACATGGGCCATGCCATATTTCATTTTTTTAAAAAATATATGGGCTGGGCCTAAAAATTTTTTAAATCTGGGTAACCATGATTGAAAATAAACCCAGGTCAGGCCAAAAAAAATTTTGAAAAATAAAGAGCGGAGGGCCATGCAAATGGCACCTCTGCGGGTATCTGATTAAATTTAAATAATTGGACTGATATTTATATTTAAAATTTTTTCCTGAATAATTGATGATTGTAAATATAATTTTTATTTTATATACAATTTCCCAATACGATGAATTAATAAAAGCAACTAAAATATTTATAATGTTTTTAAAACAAAACAAGTTATTAAGAAAGTTTAGTTAAATTTATTATTAATATTTTTCTATATTATTTTCAACAAGAAAATAAAAATATTCCACAAATCACATTCATCCATAAACATTGCCCATATTTTTAATGGGATGATTAACTTTTGGGGAACAAAAACATTAATATCATTATAAAGTATTCATAATAAGTTAATGCACCAAATTTGCTATAATTAGGTGTTTTTTGTTTTGCTTATAGTTTACAGTTAGATATTTTTTTTGTATGAAAAGATTTTTTTTTATTTTAAATATCTTATCTTATCTTTTCTTCTCAAATATTAGATTAGGTTTGGTAAAAATTTTTGGACCAGCAAACCTATCCTTTAATTAACCTTCTTTTAATGATTGGGCTGTGTCAATACACAAATTTTTCACCAATATTATCTAATGTTTTTGACATACAAACCCAATTTTGATAAATGATGTCAATCCAATATTTAGATTATTTTATATTTACCATCTGTCCTTAAACCAATATCACAAAAAAAAATCGATATTAATTCCTAATCCAAGCTTGGAGATTTTGTTCATAGTTGGTAGAAAGGTTGGACAGCTATTGTCGGAATTTTGATTTGTCTAAAATCTTGATAAATCTTCTTTTTTTTTTAAATCGGCAAAATGTAGCCATTTTGCAACACTACGTTTAGCCATAAACATTGCCCATATGCTAAATGAGATGATTAACTTATCAAGTCATTTAAATAAAAGCAAAATACATTTAATAATTCACGTAAGTGGTTTTTGAATAGAAAATATTAAATTTTTTATATACATTAATTCAGATATAGATGGTAGATAAAATCAATTTGAATATCAGTTATCGGATCGGTTTTATTATAATATCGAATTGGTTAAAAATAATTTGATAAGCACAGACTTAATTTTTTTTTAATTCCCTAAATTTTTATTTTCTCCATTCTAATTCTTACTTAAATATTTAGATATATTGATATTAAACATATCTGCCTAGTTTCAACTTCCCAAAATAGGGTTAAATCCAAATAATTCATTTGTTTTACACGAAATATTTTGACACTGATGAATTAAAATTTTTTTAAAAAAATTTTCAATTTTCTTATTAACCCTGTATTGCATGTACTATGTTAGAATAATTTTTTTTGGCAAACTAGATTTTTTATTTCTCTAGATACTATTGATAATCTCATGGCTCACTTTTTTAAAAAAAATTCTAAATTTCTTAGAAGATGAACGGTATGTGGATTTAAATACACATTATGCAATTAAGGATACAAATTTCAATTATTTCCACAATAATTTTTATTGTACTTTAAACTATAAATATATAAAATTTTATTTAAATATAACAAATATTAAAGGTTTAAACATTTTAATTTTCATGAAAATCTATAAAACAATTATTTGTGGGCGTAAAACATAAATATACACCACATTTTTTGCAAGATACTTTTGTTATAAATAAGCATCCTGGCATTTTACATCTACCCTTCTTATCATTATATTTTGGCCAATGAGCCGTGAGGTCTTTCCTAACCTCTTGAAGTGGTAAATATTGAGCTGGTCCTTTTTTACATTTTTCCCGATAACCAGTTTGAACTGATTTTCGTTTTGGAATATTGTTTGAAGTGCATTTGCCATATTTGCAAAGGACTTCCGCCACCGAAATTTTGAAATTGTACAAACTTAATCGATCCTTGCCTGCTATTGATATACTATTATAATCCCGTTTGTATAGCAACCAAGAATTTATAAGTAACATGTCGAATACATGAAATAAAATTCGATGGTACCATTTTCTTGATTTGGTATGAATTCTATATAATGAAAGTAAAGAATCCATAAGATCTACACCTCCCATTGATTTATTATAAACTTTAACAATGTTTGGACATTTTATCATTATTTTATCCTTTTTTTTCTATCATATCTTTCGCAATCGATAAGAGGATGTGCACCTACAAAAGTGCTCAATAAGGTCACAGCACGATTGTCGTGCCACTTCACTGAATTTAATTCAACCCCGTTTATTATTGTTTTTTTTGAAACAAAAAATCCTCGTCCTTTTTTTTTCAACTCCTTATCTGTTGGGAAGTTGATATTTGGTAGTCGATTACCTCTGACCGTGGCCGCGCAAAATATCCCTCTTTGAGCGAGTACGACTTGCAAATTTGGTGAACAAAACCAGTTATCAAAAAATAATTTATAATTAATTTGCTGTGGTATATAAGAAATTAAACGTAGCACAGCATTGCCACTTGCTCCAACATCAGGCAATCCTTCCGCTGGTAGTATTTTCCCAGAGTATACTTCAAAATTATGGAGAAGGCCATCATCTCCGCATAGTAGAAAGACTTTATAGCCCCATTTTTTGGGCTTTTGGGGGTTATATTGCTTTAATCTGCTCATCCCTTTGTATGGAATTATTTGCTCATCTACGCAAATATTTTCCCCTATCGATAAAGATTTTAGTATATTATTGGTTATAGTTATCAAGGGTCTAATTTTATGAAGTGGGTCATGGCCCTCACTTCCAAGTGGAATAAATTTGTCATTATCATTTATATGAATGAATGATTTGATTTGTTCCCAGCGATTTAGGGTCATGACATCAGCCACCTTGGCCTGTCTTGTATTGGTGGCCCAGTAGAGACGTGCTCTGGGAAGTTTAATAATTGACATGTAAAAAATAATTCCTATAAATTTTTCTAATTCATCTATCGTTAAATTCAAAGGTTTGTTGGAATTACATTGAATTGCATATAAATTTGATTCGTAAACAATTAGAGGTAATAAATCATTGAGATATGTATTATAATAATCCATTGGTTTTTTTACTTTATCAACCGTTGGGTTTTCTCCTTTCCACTTTGGAATAACTAATGGTAAATTAGTTAAGCAATTTTTCCAAATCATTTTTCTCACGATTCCTTTTTCATTATTTATATTTTCATCCTCTTCCGATTCATCACTCTCATTGAAATCTAGATATTTATAGATTATATAAGAGCATACATTTTAAATATACCTAAATCATTATTTTGGGTTGACAGAAACTCCTCATCAGACGATTCACTTAAATTTGAATCTTCACTATCATTAGGTATGGTACCACAATTCATAATTCTAAAAATATAAAACTCAAATAAAATACCTTATTTGCATAATGTGTCTTTAAAGCAACGTATGATTATTACAAAATATAATTATCAAAAATAATAAATATATATAAAATAATTTCATAAACATTAATTTTTACCTTTTATTTATCTAATTTTAATGTTTTGAAATTTGTCAAATATATTATTTATCCTTTTACGATGTGTAGAAAATTGAGAAGAAAAATTTTATAAAAAAATTGCCATTTTTAAAAATAGGGTTTAATAAAATGCGAAATTAAAAATAAATAATAGATCACGTGGCCCAAATTAAAATTCCAATCGAAGATATAGAATATGGCTTCAAATACACACCATGCAATTGATTTAAAATTTATTTATAAAATATTTATTATATAATTTGTGGTATGTGGCTTGAGATACACAGTATGCAAATAATTTTTATGTTGATATATGATTTATAAAGTTAGACTATGGAGTTAACTTAATATATTAAATCTGATATCACACTTGTACTGGAATATGAGAACCCTTAACTGCAGATCTACTTGAGCTAGAACTTTAAAACTTTGATAATTATTTAAGTTCTATATAACCATCATTCTAAGTAAAATATTCAATTTTTGGTCTATTTATTCTGGAATGAACCATGAAATAAAAAAAATCTTGTATAATTGATATGTTCAATCACGCAATATATTTGTAATAAAAAAATATTTAATTATTTTAATAGATAATTTATGTTATATTTATTATTTATAATTTTCATGTTTTTTAAATATTCCATAATATTTATAATATAAATTTGAATAGGAAACCAAGCTTCGACCAACGTTAATCGCTACACTAATCGCGTTGTAACACTTTGGTATAGACCTCCCGAATTACTTTTAGGTAAAATCTTGAATCAATGTTAGAGTTGAGTCGAAGCTAATCACCTTCATTTATATTGATTTAATATTATTTAGTAAATACTATCCTGATGATCCAAATTTTGATTTTTTTATGGGATTGACATATTTTATATCAAGGATCCAAACCCAACCTTTAACCTAGTATTATTTACCAAAGAACCTAAACACCTAACCTGAACTGTTAGAAATTTTGTCCCCTAACCTGAACCAAACCCTTTAAAAGGGTATATGAACCGGTTTGAACCTTTTTGATATCCCAACTCTTTAAAAATTATATTATAATCGATTTTTGATTGATAGTATAGGTGAGTTTTTTGTTTGAGACCATGCCAGCCTGGGTTAGCGATAAAAATGTTTTTAGAATTTATTTCTTCTCGTAAATATAATAATGAAAATATTTTAATTATATTTTGAGCGGAAGAGGGACAAAATTTTAAAAGATGTTGCCTTCATTTTACATAATTCTAATAAAGTTATATATGAGGAGGGGGAAATCGATCCTGTTTTTAAAGGTTCAAACCCAACCTATATTATTATTCTTTACAAACCGAACCTGATCCGTGAACCTTTATTTTTGTTTGAACCTAAACCCAAACAATTATTCGTTACTGGTTGGATCCTTGATATATATTATAAAATTAAAAACAAACAAACGAGTTTGAATTGAATTTTTTTATAACAAATTATCTATTTTCATGAAAGGCATTAATTTGAATGCGTTTTTTAAATAATTTTGTGTTCCTAATTTGTTAATAGTTTCGAAGGAAATTAAGTATATAAAAATAAAATATCCTAATTTTTTGTTAGGATAATTTCTCCGCCCAGGTTACTTTCATAGACCTGGCATTGGTTTCGAAAAATTGATAACTATTTAACGACTAGTTATTCTGCTATACACTCAAAATTTGTTGGCAGCTTTTAAATTTTATTATTCCTTAGGCGATCTAAATTATTAACTACTTGGATCGTTTGGTTCGAGACCTTGCTAATTAACAACACTGGTTGATAACGGGCGCTAGCAGAGTATTACCCTGCATTCACAGTTAGCGCGAAGTTTACAAATATGAATGTAAAAATGTTATACTTACATCATATTTTATATATTTCACCGCAAAATCGCTCTAACTGTGAATGCTGGGTTAATCAGGGCTGCGCCTTCCGATTTTTAAAATGTACTGGTCATAAATGCGTATAGTATCAAATTGACACAAGATTGGCAGATATTTTGTTAATGCATAACCATCTTGGAATGTTAACAGCACTTAAAAATATGTTATCAAACAATCATATTTTAACGGAGGAGGGGTTGGTAGCGGCAAATAATATCACCTTATGTTTTGGGTCGGCTGAACCGATCTAATTTTGAATAAATTTTAAAATCGTCCAATTCTAAACGTTTCCCTAAAGTAATTTTGTTTTGTAACAAATTGTCATTGTTATTATCGACATTCCAAGATGTTTATGGATAAATAACAAAAAATTAGCCACAAAATCTCGTTGCCAATTTCTGATACATTTGTAATTAGGTCATTGTTTACAGCCCTTTTCGCTATTAATGATTACGTAACCATAAATTAGTGTCTAATTGGATAAAATATTAAATAATTATTAAACTACATTTTTTTTAAAGGGGAAAGAAATTACGGACCGCCAATAGATATGTGGGGAGCCGGCTGTATTATGGCCGAACTTTGGACCCGAAGCCCTATCATGCAAGTTAATACTTTTCTTAAAAAATGATCTTAATCTATTAATATATATCAGAGACCTGCAGAGGTACCATTTGCACGGCCCGGCCTGGCCCGGTTTTAAATTTTTTAGGCCCGGCCCGGATATTTTCTTTCTTTCTTTCTTTCAAATTTAAGACTCGGATATTTTTTAAAAAAAATTTTCAGGCCCGGCTCGGAATTTTTTAAAATTATATTCGACCTGGTATATACAAAAATTCACCTATGAGGTATTTTATCATAAAAGAAGATAATTGTATTATATAATATTGTAAAAAAAAATAATGAAAAATGTTGGATTAAAAACTTTCATGACTCAAGGTAAATATAATAAATGCAATAAATATTTGACAGTTTGCAAAGTAAAAAACCAGCATGATTGACGAAACCCTATACTCAAGATATTAAAAATCACAAATTATCATGAAGAAAGAGAAGCATATCTACCTTTTCAGGTTGAAGATTACTTCTTCTTTCTTCAAGAATTCTCCCAGTAGTGGAAAAATTCCGCTCACAGCTTGCACTTAAAGCAGGAATTGCCAATTTTGCTAAAATTGGAAATTCGCTTTGATGAGCCGCCCACCACTCTAACAAATTATCCACCTTAAATGTTTTATCTATTATTTATGTAATTATAATATTCATCATCGGGTATTGACATATTACCAGAATTACCATCGCCCCATTTGTCATAAAACGATTCAGTTTGTTTCAACAGTCGTAATTTGACTGGTCGATGGTATTTCATTTACTTCCTGAGCCTCTTGTAATTTAATATAATCTATTATATAGTTTTCCGTCATTTTGCGATCTGTCCCTGACTACATACGTAATTGCTTGAATTTGGGACAGAGAAAAAGAGAAATAAAATGATACTTGTGTAAAACAAATTTTTCAATTAAAAAATGCTTTATATTAAGTAAAATCAATTTTATTTCTCCTTTTTCGCTTTGAAAGGTATTACAAACTTTAAGAAGTGATATTCCTTTATTTGATTGTTTTGGTAAAATATATTCTAAAAATTTAGATATGAATTATAAAAAAGCCCGGGTTTAACAATCTTAGGCCCGGCCCGGGTATATTTAAAAAAAAATTTTTTTAGGCCCGACCTGGATATGTTTAAAAAAAAATTTTTTTAGGCCCGGCCCAGCACGGGTTTATTTAAAAATTTTAAAATACAGCCCGGGCCGGGTTTAGGGCCGGGCCTGCAGGTTTCTGATATATATAAATGACAGTTTAGTCATCTGAAAAGACCCAATCATTGAGAATTTAAAAAAAAAAATTTATTCCCGAAAAGCTCAATCAAAATAAATATAAAAATTATTTATCCGTCTGACCCCCGGGCCGGGAATTTATTTAAATATAGAAATTAATTTTTTCTTCAAATATTAGTTTTACATTTATTTTTATTTTTTTTACGCTGAACACAATCGAGTTTTTGGTAGATTCTACGGACAAATAAATAATATATTGGCTCCTTGTTTCTTGCAAAAGTTTTATTTACTTTAAAAAAAAAATTTAAGCCCAACCCTTACTAGGCCCAATTTTTGAAAAATAAATATTAGTTCTGAATCTAATTTAAAAAATAAAAAATAAAAATAGAGCCTACTTTCGCAGATTCTTTATGTCAATTAGGGTTTTAACAAAAATCTTGAACATTATCTCTCCTAACCGATTTAGCGGCTAACTCAATATTATGTCCAGAAAAATATTACACCAGCTAAAGATTTTGCTCATAGATTGGCACAAAGGTTTGAACATCTTTTAAGCGAAATATCGAGGATTAGGCAATATATTTATGGCTAAAATATTGAGCTAGCCGTTTTTAGAAATCGGCTCAAATAAGAACGATTTTGCCGGATTGAATCAGTTAATATTTAATTTAACAATTACTGCAGTAGTGTTGTTAAACTGCTCGGGTTCTCTTATTTTAAATCAAGATTTTAGCCAAAATAATATTACGCGAGCTTCGAGATTTCGTTAATAGATGCTTAAACATTTCTGCCATCTACGAGCTAAATCTCTAGGCTGGGGTAATATTTTTTTGACTGAAATGTTGGATTCGTCATTAACAGTTAAATTTATAGCGAAGTTACATTAACTAGCGTGACTAGAAAATTTATAATTTTTAAAAAAATATATAAACATTATTGTAAAATCCTTAAAAAAAGGGTCAAAGTGAACAACACCAACTTAATTTAATCAGTCAATTGTGCGGCTCTATTACCCCAGAGGTGTGGCCCAATTGTGAAAAACTTGAATTGTACAATTCTCTCTCTTTGATCAAAGACCATAGGAGAAAGGTTACAAACAAAAAAAATATGTATTTAAATTCTTTTTCTTTCTTCTTTTATCCTTTATATGGCGGTTGTAATTTTAAAACGTGAGAATAGTGTTGTTTGTAAAACCTAAACCCGAGGTTGTCTAAAAATCGACTAAACCAGCTCTGAGCACGAACCCCGAGCAAAAATAAATTTATAGTTGTTTTTTGTTGAACTTAGGAAAGTATATATGCTCACAATATATATATAAAGTTAATTAAATTATATTTTGATTGTAATCATGATTATTATTCTGAGTACGGATCTTGGTTTTGCATGATTGTAATTTCGTGTAACAATTATAAAAACTAAATGTGATGATGCAGTTATTGGATACATATAACTTATTTTTCTTTTAAAATTTTTAGAAACCAACCTTTAAAACACTGTAATATATAATATATATGTAAAATTGCAATTTTATTTCCATTTGGGCATGGTATGATTAATTTTAATATTCGTTTAGTTTTAAATTTAGTATCTTTAAAGAATTTCTTATTCCTATAAACTAAAGGTCCTATTGTATGATTTTTTTTTCTAGACTTTAATATTAAACACTCCTTTTATGATTTAAAATTCATGTGCTCATTTGATAATCAGAGTATAGGTAATTGATAAAACTTTTAATCTTGGCGAACTTTACGTTACATCTTTGGTTTAATTGGGTCGTAAATTTTACGGTTAAGCAAATTAGCAACACTACGTGAGAAGGATCCAAAAAATTATTGGAAGATTAATTAACAGTAGGGTGACCAATTTACTCCTGTTTCAATTCCACTCCATTAACTGGACGTACATTTGTTAGAGAGGGAGGAACCTTCCACAGACTCAAAGGCCCGTAAAAAAACTGGTTTGTCTGGTTTTTGAACATTCTTAACTCTAAAAAGTCCCTTTCATTTTCACTTTTAGAAAAGTAAAAAAACGCCTTGATAGCTTGAAGCTTTTAGTTTACGAAATGAGTTCTCGCTCAACAATTAATTTCATATTTCCCCAAACATATATCTATCATTTTTTAAGGTGAAAGAACGACTGCGTACTTACGTTAAAGACGCGCAAGCTTTAGAACTTTTGGACAAGCTACTCGTGCTGGACCCGTCTAAACGAATAGATAGCGACGAATCGCTTAACCACGATTTCTTTTGGACCGACCCTATGCCAGCAGACCTGGCCAAAACTCTAGGCTCTCACACAACTTCTATGTTCGAGTTTTTCGCGCAGCCAGGGCGACAACAGAGGCAGAATATTCAACCTCACGGTCAAAATACGCATGGTCAAGGTACATACGCTTTTCTCATTTATTTTTAAAACTAAAAAAACACAATTTAAAACTTATTTTCAAATTTCATACTAGGACATCCTATTTTAGTATTATAAGTGTACGCAATATACAAGTTCTTTTTAAATAGAAGAAGACTTAATAAACGTGAAATAGTCCACTTTTTTTGTGTGCCGATCTAAATTAATGTTTTATATTTAATGGGAATTGGGCAAAAGCATCTTTTAAAATGTTCGAAATGTTTAATCGTAATTAAATAGCAAGTGAACTTACAACCAATTTCATTTTAATCACTTATAATATATAAATTAAAACCAATTTTTTGTAAATTTCGCCCAGTTCTACTGATTACTGGTGTAGGGTTATAGTCCGAAGGTCTGGTTGTTCAAATCTGCATTGGCGAAATTTTTTTTTAAAAACAATGAATTTGATACAAAATAAAATAATACAGGAAACTGTAAAAAATTAATTAGTGTTGCTAATATAACTGCTAATGCAAATATAATTCTGCAAAAAAATGTAACTATAGTTACTTTTGAATACTTAATTTTAGTTGCATTTTTCGATATATAAAGAGGAAAGATCTTTATACGATTATATGTATGCCAAAAATTTTGTGCACGTTGTTAAATATTCTTTTAAATTTTTTTTTTTGGATATTTATAGCCTTTCACTTATTAAAATTTTTATCAACTGCTTTTCATTTGTAATTTCTAATAATTCCTACAATTTAAATTTTTTTTACTAAAACTTTACTGTCTTGAACAATAAATAAATTATATTTATATTGCCTATGCACTTCGTTTACTATAATCGATTGATATGTAGAACCTTTGTTTATAAAATTAAATGAGTGACATTCTTAAATCTTAAATAGCCTCTTTATTTTTTAGGCGGCTTAGAGGAAGCTATATAGACGGCTAAACAGACAGGCTTCTGTTTAGAAAAATGAGGCGGACCATGTGGCCACCTTCCAGTTTTTTTTCTTCTTCTTTCTTTCTTTCTTTCTTTCTTTCTTTCTCTTTCTTTCTTTCTTTCTTTCTTTCTTTCTTTCTTTCTTTCTTTCTTTCTTTCTTTCTTTCTTTCTTTCTTTCTTTCTTTCTTTCTTTCTTTCTTTCTTTCTTTCTTTCTTTCTTTCTTTCTTTCTATAAGTAAAATGTTAATAAATAATTGAGAAAAAAATAAGGAATTTTATATAATAACCGATAAATTAAATCTTATAAAACTTTGGCAATTTATTTGCCATTAAAATATGAAAATAAAGTTATTACAATAGTTAATAATTTATGTATATCGGTGAAACATATCATTTACGAACAAAAGAACACTAATTTCAATTAACTTCGATGGCGTTCATATTAGCGTATCATGCGATTAGTTTAATAAGTCTTCTTTTAAATTGAAAGATTTAAACTTGGTATTAATAAAAATTCTGGTATATCCAGTCCTACTGTATCATTATGTTCATAGTAATATTCCGTTAAAATGCTAATATGAAGCATATATTTTAATTTTGTATAATAATATAACTCTATGCATTAACTAATTTTTCATAAATATTATATTCTTAATTATTCTTCTACCTTTATTTGATGGCAAATAAATTACCCAAAATGTATAAAATTTTACCCTCTCCCCATCCCCCGGACTTTATTATTATAATATTCCTTTCCTTCGTTTCGTTAATTTATATAGAATATTTACATCATATATTTTTTTGGTAAAATTATTATTCATAATATCATATTCGACAGGTAATCCTATGCCTTCCAAAGTCCAGCAGCATCAGCCTCAAAGATCTAACATGCCAAACGCCCCCAATATGCTAGGAAAGCTTCAGGGAGGACCACCGATGCCTCATAAGGTAACAATTCAAAACACATTTCCTTGATTATTTATGTCATCAACACCTTGATTATCACTTTTCGAAAATATAGATACCTTTCCACCCGTTTTAATTTTTCTTTTTTCAAACCTAGCAATTTATTTTAAATATAATGTGTATTTGTGTCTACTAAAATATAATTAAAAATTGTTCTATATTACAATAACAGAAGCTTACCGCACAAATTTAAGGGAGGCTCCTCCATAATTTGATGTCCATGTTATTGTTGTTTAAATGGTTCCATTTGAGCCTATTTTTAAAAACGGTTAGCCCAATATTTAATATTTTAGCCAAAGAGATTTCGCTAATAGATTTTCTAACCTTTGTGCTATGCTATCTATGGGCAAAATCTTCAGACTTTCGTAATATTTTTCTGGGTAAAATATCCATTTTTAAAAATCGGCTCAAATCGAGCCGTTTAACAATGCTAGTCTTTGTATCTAAATATCTAGCTAAGTATCCATCCGCCGGAATTCCCGTTACGTTTCTATATGATTACATTTTTCTTCTTTTTATTTAACTTTTTATCAAGTTTGTTTATTTCAAATAAAATACCAGCCGTACCACAGCCGTCCTTATCATCAAATGCATAGGAGGGATAATTACGGAGTCGGAACGAATATGAAAAAAGATTTTAATACTGGTTTAAATTTATTAAATAAAAGTTTATTGAGTAGGGCCACACTTACCCCCCCCCCCATCCCACGCACAAACTGAGCAAAATTTGCTAACGGGTGAATTTGGTTAAATTTATAAAGGATTATTATTTCAGTTCCAGTTTATTGGACAAGATTCGCTATTCCACATCAATTTGTGATGGGTATGAAGGGGGGGGAGGTGCTCAATGAAGCCTTTTAATATTTTACGATACATATATTCAGATTAGATTTAAGCATGCTGCAAAGACGCCATTGATTTAATTTTATATTTACAGAATAAAAACTACTGAAGTGGCTTTATATAATGTCCATGTTATTGTATTTAATATTATAACATCTTTTTTTAAACACCATATTAAGGTCCCAAAATTTCTTCTAACGATGATTCATCATCTCAAAATCTTGCGAATTCGCAGAACCAACCCCATTCCTCCATGCACCACAATAGATATCATCCATACAACGCTGGAAATAATAGTTCGCAAAACGTGCCAAATAGGTGATTGATTGTCCATCTAACTTTTATTTCATGAAAGGATAGTCATGTCACATATTATAGTGTATATTAACAATGTTATTCTAACTAAAAGTATAAAAGATACAGAGGCTGGCTCAATATTAATTTAATTACCAATATTAACTAATCCAATTTTTACTTGTATTATGGGGAAAATGTATATAAAGTAAGAGAGTAATTCAAAATATACAAAAACAAGGTATTATAGATTGGGGTAGAGGCATAGAATACTTTCTGGCACCCCCCTCTCCTCAAACAAAATTTTGCAAAATTATTTTCATTTTCTCTTTACGTACATTTGGACGTGAATTGCTTTATTTATTACACAATTTTAGGGACCCGGAGTAAACCGTAATGAGCCTCTAAATCATTATAAACCTTTATAAATAACTGAACCGTAATCGAACTATTATTTGTAAAAAAACCTTTATTAAAAAAGTTAAGCCAAAGCCAGTTAAAACAAAATAAAATAAATAATTTTACATTTTTTTACATTCTTTTCTTTGTAGTGTATTATATATTTTGTAATATTGTTAAAAGTTTCTTTTGAAATAACTAGTTACATTAGTAAAAATATAATTAGTTACATTATAAGTTACACCATTCATATAACGCATTATTTATTTACTGAGCGCATTTATTTATATAAAAAAAAAGTAAATCGAAAAAAAATATCGGAAAATAGAATATATTTATATTTACATCGTAATAAAAATATCATATATATTTGCATTGAAAAAAAAACATATTTATTTTTCATAAAAATTAGAGTTTAGTAAATTTTTATTTGATTTTGACAACAAATTGATTTCAAAATTTTTATCTAAGAGATGCGCTCGTTTCTCTCCAAAAATGAGCTTCTCTAGACTGAATGTAAGGACAACATTATATTTAATAAAAAATAATTTTAAATTTGGGAAATCATCATATAAAAATAATGTGTTATTATTGGATTTTATAAAATTTTCTATAAATTTATTATCAATAATATTTTGCCGCTTTAAGTCAAAAAATCTAACTTGGTTGCGAACATGAATTTGTGTTAGATTCATCGTGAGGTATTAAAGTATTTATTAAATTTAAAATTTCCATCTTTTTTGATCTAATCTTTTCTTGCCTTATCCAAGGCCAATCAGTTTTAAATAGTGGATGAAGAATAGCAGCAATTATGTTATCATTATCATAAAGATCATGAAACCTATATCATTATATATATATTATTAATTTATAAATAATTATTTAATAAAGTTACCTTTTTTCAATACTAGTTAATATAGCATCCTTTAAAGGTTGACAATATTTTGATTCTTGAACACCTTCCAGACATATTAGTATTTGTGTTATTGTTGGGGTATAATAACCCAGATACATATATTTTTCACCTTCAAGTATGTCAATAGCTTTAGCTAGTGGTTGCATAATCTAATTTTTAAATTATAAATTTTTTATAAGACATTAATTTGAATTCATACTACAGTATTCTTTTATAAAATCACGATCTTGTTGATGTGAATCTACGCAATTTTAATTCATCTCATAAAAAATCGAATTCCAAAGGTATTTCATTTATAAATGATAATATTTTAGACAGAGATGTATAAAGGGAACCCCATCTTGTTACAACGGGATATGGCAGCTGAGAATGTAATCGCTTTTTAATTTGTTCAGCTGATGGCCCAGGTTTCGTGTATTCCATAAACGTTGGCATTTAGATATAGGAAAGTTTTACACTTTCTTATACTCCTTATTATTTAAAAGCATTTTGCTGGCATCTTGTGTTGCCACTAAGTTTAATGTATGACAAGAACATCTTCGATGCCATTTTCCTCTATTTAAGAAGATGGGGAGCTAAATATTCTAAGAAAAATATAATATATAAAGCAAATTAGTTAGGCATACCGAAAGGCCTTTGAAAATTTGCTTGCATTATCTGTTAATATGCATATATTTTTATTTTGATGTGAAACTTCTTAAAACAGTAATAAAGCTTCTGGGCCATCAGCCGAACTAATTAAAAAATTACATTCACAACTGCCGTATCCCGTTATAACAAGATGGGGTACCTTTTAGAAATCTCTGGCTAAAATATTATCATTTTTAAATGAAGTGACTATGGAATTTGATTTATTATGTAGTGAATTAAAAATGTGTAGACAATATATGATCGTGATTTTATGAATATTGTAGTGTAAATTTAAATTAATATCTTATAAAAAATTTATAATTTAAAAATTATTATGCAATATGTGGCTAAAGCTATTGATATACTCGAAGGTGAAAAATACATGTATCTGATTTTATTATATCCCATCAATAACACAGATGCTTATATGTCTGGAAGATGTGCAAGGATTAAAATATTGTCAACCTTTTAAGAATGCTATATTAACTAATATTTAAAAAAGGTAACTTAAATTAATTAATTATTTATAAATTAATAATATAATGTTATAGGTTCAATGATCTTTGTGATAATGGTAACATTATTGCTGCAATTCTTCAACTATTATTTAAAACTGACTGGCCTTGAATAAGGCACGAAAGGAATAGAGCAAAAAAGAAGTAAAATTTAAGTTTAATAAATACTCTGCCGTCCTTACATCAAGTGCTCCCGTAGAACTTTTATTCAGTCTATGGAAGCTTATTTTTGGAGAGAAACGAGCGCGCCTCTTAGATAAAAATTTTGAAATCAATTTGTTGTTAAAACAAATAAACATTTATTAAACTCTAATTTTTATGAAAAATAAATACATGTTTTTTTTTCAATGCAAATATATATATATGATATTTTTATTTCGATATAAATATATTCTATTTTCGATTTAATTATTTTTTTTATAAATAAATGTATATTTTCAATGAATGCGTTCAATAAATAAACAATGCGTTATATGAATGATGTATAAAGTAACTTATAATACACCTAGATACAGTTATTTTTTAACAAAGATGTAATTAGTTACTTAACAACACTATTATTTTACCATATCTGCGTCGTTTTTTATAATTATTAAATGATCAAAGTATAATATCCATAAAAAGTATGTATTGGTTTTTTCACTATAACTTAAATTGATCCGCAATCTTTTAACTTCCTATGGTATTAAAGCATTCCTATTTTCTTTATTTTAGTATTATCTAAATAACCAATTTATAGATTTTTGATTTAGTTACATTTATTTAAGTATAATATCACCACCTATCCATGAGAAGTTTGATAGAAAGATCATTATTCCCATATAAATTTCAAAATGACCAAATTTTGTGGTTTTAATTTTATATATTATTTATAGAATTTTGGCATTTGAGTATATTTTAAAGCATTAGTAATTATAGCCTTTATTATGAAAATGTGAAATGCATGTTTGCAAATTGTTCAATTCTGTTTTTTATATTATTATTTTTTAGGTATGAGAGATCGTAAATTCTTTAGCCAATAATATTCATATGATGTGGCCTTACAAATTAATGATGAATTTTAATTAGTTTTTCAATATCATCAATATATTAACTTAAGTAATGGCAAACATTTTAATAAATAATATTCATAATTAAAATCATTATACTACGGTGTTGCTTCAATAAAAAGAATTTTAAAAATATTTTCAAACCTTTAATGAACCTTTACAATTATCTGAACCGAAACTTTATAAAATAAATTTAAGAACCTTAACCGTCATAACCAAACTGAAACGTTATAAATAAAGGTTCACAGGTCTGCCAAAATTTTCATTTTACTATCTATATCGTGATAAATATAAATATTACCTAATACATATTCAAAAACACTTTTTCACGATTAGCATTTGGAAAAGAATAAGAATTTGATCGAAATATGCAATTTAACCCCCCCCCCCTTTAAACATATGCAATGATTTTATTTATCCTTATAATCTATTTTATAAATTAAACAAAGGCATCACGGTAATAATCCCCCTCACTTTCACCAAAGACATGGCCCTATGAATAAAATGGCTGGTCATGATAACAACCCGCTTCTTCCACCACCTCATAAACACACAAATAATCCTACCAAAGAAGAGAAATAAGGTCAAAATTTTTATCTCGAGATGCCCGAAAGTTTTAAGAAGGAAGAAAATATAAATAAAGACTGTGTTTTGATTATTTATGTGTATTTATATTATCCTTAATGTGATATCAAAATATTTTTTATAATACTCTCAAGGTCCAATGAGAATGCAGAACTTCCATTTTTTTGACAGCCATATTTTAATAAAGTAGTCAAGAATGCAGTCAATTTTATCGATAAATATTTTTTTAATATATTGAGGATTTTAATGAAAAATAAAATAGCAACCGATATTTTAAATGTATCATTTTTTTAAGGTTTTTATTTGTATTTGGTAAATAAGGTGCATCTAAAATTAAAAAAAAAATACAAAAATTAAATGTTAAGCAATCTAAGCTAAACCGACCTCTCTTCACATTATAAGAAAATACTTTATAACTGATAATGCGCTGATACATATATAGTATTGTTAAACGGCTCGATTTAATTGATTATAAATTAAGATTCTAGCCAAGATAATATTTATTTAAGCCTCGAGATTTCGCTAATAGATATCCAAACCAAATTCCCACGCTTTCATAATATTTTTTTGCTAAAAATCTTGGGTTCGCCTTTTTTAAAAATTAAGTCGTTTAACAACAAACCTAGACCTGTGCGCCGATGTATCAATCGACGGCGGCGTTATTTTTTAATTTTTTTTTATCGGTGCCGCCGCGCGATATTTATTTTAAAAAATTTTTAATTTACAAATCAAGGTATTTTTTTATGAATTTAATTTATAAAAAAAATATTATATTAAATGAATTTTAATGTAGAGTAATGACTTGTGAAATCTTGATTTTCTTTCAAAGCAGATATGGATAATTTTTTAACGAGGATATCAATAAAATGGATTATGTTTATCCGAATCTTCCTCATCTTTTTCCCCCAATTTTAAGCAAGATTCACAATAAATATAATAAGGCATTATTATGCTTTTCTTATTTTCATTCTTCAAAATAAGATTTCCTAATTACATCCAAACATAACTTGATTTGTGATTAGTAGAGAGTTGTTATTTCAGAAAAGTGCAAGTTCATAAAAGTAATTAATATGTATTGTTTGTGGAAATGAAATACTATGTATGAATATATATAAATGATATACACTATTCTATATATATAGCAATAGAATACAATTCATATGTTAATTTTATTAATGTTAATATTCAAATTTAAATGATAATTTAATATATAAATATAATTATAAAAATTATACACGCCATCTCCATAAAAAAAATTGGCGGCGAGCCGGCTCACGCCGATAATCTCAATCGGTGGCTGTTCCGGCGTGAATAAAATTGCCGGTAAGAGCCGGCGGCGAACAGGTCTAGCTATATCCCATTACTTTGAAAATAAAATAATTTATTATAAAAAAAATTGGCTGCTTAAATAATGCAATAAATTCAAAACCGAGCTACAAATTCCTTAAACAGATAAGAAAAGGAAGCATTTTTTTAAAAAAGTAAATGCACAATATTTTTACTTTTAGCTAATTGATATAATTTAATTTTTTTTAAAAAAAAACTAAACTGGTTCCTTGTTCCACAGATCACCACTGTTTATTTATAGGAAATCTCGGAAAAAACCCCAGAAAAATAACCCCGGATTTTTTTTTCGTAATTTTTATTTGGATTATAATGGGTATACTCATATTTATAATGTAGACAAATTAGTATTTTTGAAAAAAATATTATAAAAAAAATATATTAATAAGCTAAATTTCTTTAGACCATATTTCATTATTAAAAGATTATTCATAAGCCCTCCATAAAAAATGCTTAAACAAGATTAAATACTGAAGTTCAAATTGGTACTGGGAAAAAATAACCTACGTAATTACGATATTAAGTAGACTAAATTTGACAAATTTTTTTAATAAGATATATTCTTTTATTGGTAAATCATGATTATGTATATACAAATTTAATAATTATATGGATTGACATAGAATATTAAAGAAAATCGCTCATATAAACTGGCTTTGCACCCCATCACGATATTCCTCGCAAAGTTTCTTTAACCGAATCTGGGTATTATAACTGATTTTGTTTTTGGTGTTAACTATCTACACGCCATTGTTCAAGTTTGGTTTCATCGGTAGCCACCTCGCATTCCATTTTTTTAAAATCAATACCCAGATTGATGGGTGTTTATCCCCAACCAGATTAGAAAAACGATGATTCCAACCTTCGCATTGATTATTTGTGAGTTCTTCATCGGATAGAGGCTCTATGTTCCAATAAATATGGAAAAAAAATAAGTTTTTTTTTCATATTACCATTTATGAGAGTAGCTTATAATCAGTGAAAGTTGTAGAAAAAATTAAAAAAAAACTATTTTGAATAATTTTAAATGATATGACAGCTGATACATTTTTCTTATTCATTTTAATTCTAATTTTGTAATCGATAATTTTTTAATTCGCATTCATAAAATAGGAATCGAATAAATTCGGTTTAGGTAAAGTTCTACCTATGTCCACCCTTGATTATAAATAACAATTTTATTGATTCAATTAATTACACAATATATACATGTACTGGAGAATTTTATAATTTGTTTAATAACGTGAATAAATAATACAGAATACGTTGTACAATTTATCTATGCTTTAAGATTTATATAAACAATATTAAACCCGAATAAAAAAAAGGAACTTTTCAAAATCAAGTTTAGTATTTCAAAATCATCTAAGCAAATCTCAATTGTTAGCCAAATCATCATTATTTTCGAGTAAAGCTCTGCTGAAAGCCAGGTTCCAATATTGTTCTACCCCGTGTTTTGTGAAAGCTTCCCTGGCAAATGGTTCCGAGGGGAAAATTTTGAACGTGAGAGGACCAAAACTGCGTCTTTTAACGATCCCCTCCCAAATTAGATCGCAGCGATTCAAATTATTTTCTAAATTTTGGGTAGTATCTGTGGTTGACTGGGCTAAAGATGAGATAATAATGAATTATTGTGGGCTTGTAGAGGATAGGATAAAAGTTATTTTAGGGCTCGATAACCAAAAAAATTTGAAACTTTTGTTTTGGGTTTTCAAAATATGGCTTGTTTTGAGTTTTATCAAATTTTGTTTTACTAATGTTAGAAATATTAAAATCTGTGCAAGGTTTGATATGAAAATTAAAAAAAACATTATTTTGGTTATATCTTTTGTTTTTAAAAAAAGGTTGCAATTATGGCTTACCCGAATTCTTTATTTTCTCGAGCCCTAAAAGCCACTAACCAATACAGGAAAAACATATTAATTACATTATTTTAAATTCTAATATTAATATTTATGAAATGATAATTAGGCCAGGGCTGATCAGACAATTTTGGGCAGAAAGCATGTGCAAAATATTTGTATAGACCAGGCCAAAGTTTTGAAAATATTTTTATAGTTGATAATTAGGCAAATTTATGTAGTTTTCCTTACATAAAAAAATATTATGGACGAGACAACTTACAAAGTTTATTTTATGGAGCAGGTAGGAATTATGGGCTAGGCAAAACCTGATTTAAAAATTTCCAAGGGCTGATTTAAACTGGCCCGTGTCGACCTTAGCTTGATACGTTATTAGTAAATTCATAATCGAATAATTAGATCTTTGTCAGAGGCTATGGTTACTACCATAAATTACTTATTTTTTTAAAAGAGCGATAAATTCAAATAACAATGCTGCATTTATAGTAGCACGATCCTCAAGCGATGCAAAATTAATAGTTAGTGAAATCACAGCTGATTCATTATCAATACCTTTTGAAATATAGGTAAACACTGTCGCAATTCCAATATTTCATTGAGTATTTATGAATTAAACCTATTAGCTTGATTATACACATTAACGAAAAACTTCATGGCGCTTCAACGAATCAACTTAATATAAATGCAGCTTAAAGACTGGGCAATAAAAAAATGATATAATTACCTTTTGAAGAATCCTGACCTCCTGATACAAAAAAAGTGGAAGGGTTATTAGAAACGTAAGAAGGTAATTTGTCATCTCCCCATTTGATACGATCGAGGACCAAATGCTTGAACTTGCGTATCTGTTTAGGACCTATTACATTTTTAATTTATGAGTTGTTTAAAAGTAGATGAAAATTTAAAATAAATTAATTTCAAATGTTTAAGTTTTACCTAAATAGTGTTGTTAGTAATAATGCTAATGGGGTTGTGTCTAAATTTTAGATATCATAATTCATATTGCAAATTAATTTACTGTTTAAGATAAACTGCTTAAATTTGTACATTAATAATATTCCGAAAAATAGATCAAAATAATTCGATTTGAAAAAAACTAGTTATTTGAATAATTTGTCGAATAAGTCCTCATTTATAGTAAACACTATTTGTACAAGCGGTACCGTATTTATAAATCAGTCCAATATATATGAAACGAAACGATGAAAACGCTTAAAATTTGAAAAACATGTTGCGAATTATTATCGCTGTAGAGAATTAGATGTGATGTAGATAGCGTTAAATACCGCACCGCTTGAATAAATAGGGTTTACTATAAATGAGGTGTAGGAGATATAATTCGATTCGTTCTAGTATAGGCCTACTTTTAGACATAGTAAAATAAACTGATCCAGGAGAATTTGATATTAAATTAACTCTAGTTAACTTCTCAAATAAACTTATAAAACAAAACTGTCATATTCAAATTGGAAAAATAAAATATTTGGAATCTTATTTTATAATAATTCCCTCGATTACAGAATAAATGATATATAAATATGATAGGTGTCGCAAAACAAATTATTCGGGATATAATATAAATAATTTAAAAAATCATGTGAAAAAACATAAACCATTTAATACTATTTAAGAAATTCCCGCTTTAACCTTATAAGGAGATTCTAAGCATTCTTTTACAAATGACATTTTGATGAAATTAAAATTAATTTAACCTCCTTCAACGACTATAACGTTAACGTCTTTATAAAGCGCGACAAATCCCGTCATAAACATCTGGTTTGCATTCGCTTCCACTTTAAATTTCTTGGCAGGGTTATGTAAACTTTTGACGCTTTGTTGTATATTAAAAAATATAGGATAAATTAATTAATTCAAATACGTGGATAACTGATTTTATCCAGAGTTTGGATCCTCACACTAAAAAAATGATTCCAATTCTAAATATTTTTAAAAAGGCGGTTCCTTAAAAATTCTTAAGAAGTTCGTGTTCTTATATTTGTTCCAGTCCAAAGTGGACTAGTTGCGCCCCCAATTCGGATGAAAGAATATGCGATCAATTTATTAACGAAATTAAAATACAGGTTAATTTAATTTATAATTTCAGAACCAATTTTTAAAGCAGTTTCTTCTATTGTTTCTACTTTATAATTTTTTGGTAGTAAATTGGTTTCCAACTAGGCTTATGAATCATTGACTAATTTATTATTTGTAATTAGGATAAATCGAAAAGAATAGTAAATTATTCGATTTGTTGAAGTAATCGAAAATAGGCCTAGCTTGATTCCAACTGAAGCAGTTGATGCACCTTGTCAATCAGTAGTGTTGTTGTGGGTGAGGGCAGTGGGGCTCAAGTTCCCTTGTTTTTTTTAAAAATATCTTAAAAACAGGTCATTTTCAAGGATATTAGTAAAAAAATTGAGCCCACTGAGATTGTAAAGGATAGTAACGCCACTGTTGTTAATCATATCACCTGCTGTTAGATTAACAATTGAAATGACAAATGTTTAATTTAACTTAAATATCATTAATATTTCAAGTAATCTGAATAATTCTTCAAATATCTTGATTAGAATAAAACGAATATCTAGTACCCTTATAAGGTGATCGGGGGAACCACCAATACCAATTATTTCGAATTAGTATATTATATAGCTTAGTTTAGAGATTATCCTTTCTCTTTATATTTAAAAAATATATCCGACGAGACTGGATTCTTTCATTAAATCCGTAATCCTAGACTTTATAATTGAGGGGAGGAAATTTACAACAAGCGCTGCATCTAGTGATATGACTGCCCCAAAGAAACAACCAAAACAACAACGATAAAAAAAACGATACAAATCCTAGTACTTTCAGATTAACTATATTGAAGTTTTGATATAATGGAGAAGTTGATGACAATTTCCTTTCTTTACAAATCCAAAGAATATTGATTCTCTATTAAACTCAACCCTAACCCAACAGTCCACTTCTGAACTAAATAACCAAAAGCCCTTTTTAGGGCGGGTCCACACCCCTCTTGGCATTCTTGGGCCGGAAGGTGTATCGCCAACTCTGCAACTGACAGCACTGTAATTCATCAAACTCGCCAAAACTCAGAATAGAAAGGTGTGATATAGAGAACCAACCATGAACATGTTGTCTCGAGATCGAATCGATTGCCATCACTCAATTCTTCCTCACTGTTAACCATCAATACAAGGTAATCTGCATATACCATGGATGTTCTTCACTCTCTAACCACGATATCCAATACTTAGATAAATAATATAGAACACAGCGTGGATCCCTGAAGAAGTCCTAACTTCACTTCAAAGCTTTCACTATCTCCATAATCTGTCGGTACTATCTAGTAACCTCGTGTGGCACCCTGTTAAAAGTCTTCTCAAAATCCACAAACCAGGGCTGAGAACCCAAACCTTCGTTATTTCGCTCAACCAAAACCCTTTTTTAAAATTTAGGGTTCAGGGTCCAATCTTTTTTTTTAATTTTTAAAAAATTTATTTTAAATTTTACGTTTAAAATAATAAAATATATAAAAAAAACATATAATTAAGGATTTTCATTTATAAATGATTTCTTATTAAAAAAGAATTCCCATTTAAAACAAATTTTTTTATTCAAAAAAATATTAATTTAAAAATAACATTTTTTGATCATTTTTGTTATATTTAAGAGTCGGCTATTTTTCGTAAAAATTTTTAAATTATACCCAGCAAAGCAGATTTTAAAAGTTTTTTTTATAAATGGTGATAATATATAATAATATCTATTTTAGGATATTGTTGATTGTGGATTATTAAATTGATAGTATAAATTGATAGTAAGACAAAAAAAAAAGTACAAAATCAGGTAGTAATATTTTAAAGAATATAAGTTGCAAATCAAATATAATTTAGATTAAATAAGTGCAATTAAAAATATATATAAAAATGGTGGCTATTTATTTTCAAGGTAAATTTAATACTCAATATATATTTCGTAGAATATGTCAAATCTAAATTATAATTAAAATAAGGCAACATCTGTTAGATATTTGTAATTGCAAATTTAGTTTAGATAGTTTTATTTAAATTTTGTTAAAAAAATCGAATATTAAATTATAATATATTAAATATAACATGGATAAAATTAAATAAGTGCAATAAAAAATATATAAATGGTGGCTATTTATAGAGTAAATTTAATAATCAAATAATTATTCCTAGAATACATGATATCTAAATCAGAGATCTGCAGGCCCGGCCTTAAATCAGGCCCGTTTTTAATTTTTTTAAATATATCCGGGCCGGGTCTAAAAAAATTTTTTAAAAAATATCCGGGCGGCTGGGCGGTATATTTTAAAACCAAATATTTTAAATCACCATAACTATAGCTATAAAAATCAAAAATAAATATAATATATATTTAAAAAAATCCGGGCGGGCCTGAATATATAAAACCCGGGAGAGGCCCGGCCGAAAAAAATTTTTGAAAAAAAAATCCGGGCCGAGCTGTGCAAATGGTACCTCTGCAGCTTTCTGATCTAAATTATAATTAAATAAAGGCAAAATCTGCGACCTATTTTGTAATTACAAATTAGGCTTAGATTTTGAATTTAAATAATTTGTTAAAAAATTAAATTTGTTAATGAAAATCAAGGATTTATTAGTCGAATAATTCAAATTTAATGATAAGGGAGATTCTGCTTGTAGAATATGTGAGTATTAGTAGATAGTCATAATAGCATATAGACATATTAAAAGAAATCACTCGAAACAATTCGATAAGTATTTAGGTGAAAAAAACGAAAATCATAATAACTTAGACAAAAACTTCGATTACTACCAAATTTGATATAAAAAAAAATAATATTAATAAAATTGAAATTGTAAAAAATCCATTCATATTTCGATGTTATTGGGTCGAGATGGGGACCGTTAATGGCCGCCCTTTTTCAATAATTGAAGACTCAGGGTTTGAAAAATTTATTGACCCTATTACTTAAGTCCTGGTGTGTCCACTAATCGTTATACAGAGACTTGATTGCAGATGATTTTAAAAATAGTAAGAAAAATTAAAAGAGAAACAAAAAATAAATTAGTTTGTTTAAAAAATTGATTCTGCTAAAACAAATAGATAGAAATCTGGGAATAAATATTTAGTATGTTATAGGTAATATTATCGTATTAAGAAATTTGGCGATGAAAGAAATAGATACAGGAGATAATACTAAAAAAATGATTTGAGACCCTGAATAAATTTGAAGATTATTAAATGAATCAGAGCAAGGGGAGAATTGGGATGAAGATGATATAATAAATGAAGAAATAGCAGATATATTTAACTCCAAAAGTTTATAGCATTAGATGTGCAGCATACAATCACAGTTAGTCATTAATGAATTTTTAAAGACAAAGTTATACGAAATCGATTATTGACCTAGCAAGGGAAGTGATAAAATTTTTAAAAACTCCAACGATCGTTAGAATCTTGAAATCACTGAAAAAACCTATGACAATAATTGATTATACAATATTCATCGGTTTACGATATGCTGGATCAATCTTAATGACGATATTTTAGAAGATATTATGATAATTCGCCTAAATAAAATTTTAATTTTTCTCACTATTTTTTTAGACTCATCTGCAATCAAGTCCCTAATTTTATAAAAATTAGTGGACACACCCAGGCCTTTATAGGGTCAATAAATTTTTTAAACCCTGAGTCTTCAATTATTGAAAAAGGGCGGCCATTATCACCATCTCAACCAAATGACATCGAAATATGAATAGATTTTTTTGTACAATTTCAATTTTATTAATAATATCTTTTTTTAATAACAGATTTGGTAGTAATCGAGGTTTTAATCGAAGTTTCTATGATTTTCGTTTTCTATACTCATCGAATTGTTTGAAGTGATTCTTCTTAATATGTCTCTAAATTGCTGTAAAACAATGGTCTTCCTTGGTATATTTTCTCCTAACGCATAATGAACACATTGGATATTATTAGTGGTTCTTGGCTGATTTAGCAAACCCAACTACGCTCTTATTCACGAATAAAAGAATTCCATAAAATTTCTCAAAAAATAGACAAAAATTTGATATAATATTTTAAAAAAACTAACCGAAAAACGGCCACGTGAACTTCGTCACTAGTGTCCTCCTTAATCTTCCGTTCCTTTTTAGCCCTCCTTTCGTCTGGGGTAAGTTTGCGCTCGGCATTAGCATCTTCGTGAGTTTTGGCGCGTTTCGCCATCTGGGCTCGTACGTGGCCCTCTATCTTGGTCGGATCTAAGATTGCCTCCTTGCCCAGGACGCGCATCAGATTTGTTATTTTTACTGATACATTTTGAAGGGTATTGATTTTTTTTATTTATAATGAAATAAATAAATAAATTAAAATTTTAGTTTTCTATCGTCTGCTTTACTAGTTGTTGTTAATTCCGAAAAATTCCCATATTTTAGCTTATTATATACAATATATTTAAAAAATTAGTTTGCTCTAGTATGGCTTTATAGTGCAACCTAATTGAAGCATTTTGCAAATTGAAAATTTGTAAACGTCAATAAAAAAAAAGCAAGCTGGTTTGCCTTTTTTTTAAAACGCTCAAAATTCGATTTAATGATATTAATTGACATTTATAATATAACGGGTGGAATTTAATTAACTACGCAAAATGACAGAAACAGATAGGTACATAAATTAAAATTGCTATTATTATTTACGACAATATCTCGATTAAAATATATTAATAAAATATTATAATACATTTAGGCTCAGGAGGTGGCTCGAGACCTAGCCTAATCTTTTCCTGTTTTTCTAACCAAATTTCTCTCCTATTCTGGCGTCTTAACTTTTTCCTTTCCTTCTTCGTCAGCAGAACCACGATTTCCGTGTTATACTTTTTCATTCCTAAATTTTAAGTCAATGAAATGACGTCATTTTATTTTAACTAATATTTTTAAAAAAAGGCTAACTCAATATTTTAGGCCGAAAAAGATGGCCCCTCGAAATTTCGCTAATAGATGTCTAAACCTTTGTGCCATCTATGTGCAAAACCTTAAGACTGGCGTAATATTTTTCTAGATAAACTATTGAATTAGCCGTTTTTAAAAATCGGCTTCAAATCCAGCCGTTTAACACTACTGATGTTACGAAAAGGAATATAAAAAATGAACCAATCCAAATATATATTTTTTTAAACAAGACAAGAAATATTTTTATACTAGTATTTATTTATTCTACGTAAATCAACCATCATGAGTTAGGATATCCACATTTATATGTGTTAGCATTCCATGTGTTATTTTATCAACTTGGAATCATTTTTTGAGCACACTTTTTTAAATTTTTTTAAAAAATATGATCATGAGAGATCAGGCGCGTATGCAGGAATTCAATATATTGCAACTAAAAATTTTTTTAGAATTATTCTAGAAGTTATTTAAGAATATCTTAAGTTTCAGAAAATTAGGACCAGTGACTATAAAATATTGACAATTTATAATACACAAATTTAAATATAAATAAATCTCTGATGTGGTATTAAATAAGTATATAAACGGTTTATGAATCAGAATAAAATAAATACCTCGGAAAAAAAAAATATATAAATTTTTTTAAGCATTTAAAATTTGATATTTTTTTTTAAAAAAGGGAAATGTTAAATAATTAAGAATATTTAAAATATTTTATGAATAAATTTAGAATATTTACAAATTATTTCAAATAATAATATATTTGTAAGGGTAATTAGAAAGAATAATATCGATAGAAAATATATCTACTTTATTCATTTTCGATTCGAAATTTTGAATCAGATAATTTTTCCATTCGCATTAGTGTAACACGAATCGAATAATTAGTATTAGGTATATCCTCAAGTAACCATTAAATAATATATCAAATATTTTAAAAATAAAATTAGAAACCTTTATAATTTTTCGAGATAAATGAATATAGAAGTTACTTTGTCTTTTCATCTGCATGGGGTGTTGAATCAAGTTGGTAATGCGGTTCTGTTCTAAGCAGCCAAAGCTAAAATTTTGGAAAGGCAAGATGCTATCATAGCTGTAGGCGAAAAAAAATATTGCAAGATTTTATAAAAAGGTCAATGAAGTTCAATTTTTTATAAAAAGGTCAATGAAGTTCAATTTTTTATAAAAAACGATTAGTTTCATACGCTTTTTATCAATAACCATCAACTCTATTTAATAAAAAAATAAAACAGGATTCTTTCCATTCAAGGGTCTAAATTCTTATCCCTGAAAGATTTTTTTTCACCCGTGGCAGATAATAGAAGCATTCGATTCTTGTAAAGAATAATTGCTTTTTTTTAATTAACCATATAAGGTATTATTTAATTTTAATTCTATAGATTACTATAGAATGCTTCAATTTAATAAAAACCCAGAATTTTTTTAAAATAAAGTTAACCAATCACGGGTGCTTTAAAATCTTACCAATTATATCAGGTAGAGATCTGTAAGGCCCATACCCGGCCCGAGCTGGGTCTATTTATTAAAAAAGTTCGGGTCGGGGCAGGGTCTAAATTTTTTAAATATAGTATCATTAGATTTTGTCGAATAAATTGATATATTTCGAAATTCTAGCAAGAAGCAAGGCGCTAATATTTGTTATTCGTAGTTAAATTCTGGCAGGGGCGGACTAATTTTTATTTTGGATCGGGCTTTTTGGGACAAGTAAATAAAAAATTCTATGTCGGATAGAGCTGAGCAAAACATTTTTTTTAAAAAATTCAGGCCTGGCCGGGCTTAAAAAATTTGGCCAAATGCACATCACCAATAACAGGCATTCCTAACAGATTTTAATTAGCATGATATACCTTCTATTCTATTATATCTATAAAGATAAACCTATAGTAAAAAAGGTTTTTTATAATATGTCCTAAACCGGATTTGTTATGTCTCTACTAAGATATTATCTTGCTAGCAAAGTAGCATTCCTACCCTCATATTCTAATATATGAATCTAAAAATTTGTTTTTTTAAATAAGAATTAACTTTTCACGTTTGAGCAGCATAGAATCCCACCATTCGCATTGAGGTATATCCTTGGTAGAACCGGGGTCCTTTTTGGGGATCATGAGAGCCAATTTAGCGGCAGATATTATGCCGGTTTTTTTGACGGCCTGGGATATCTCATTTTGGAGTTGTTCTAATCTAGCCTTGATTTCAATTTGGTATTAGAAAATTTTGATTATAGTTACATCGTATCAAAAAAATCAAATTCTCTTTCCAATTACTATTTCCAAGTTACTAGTTACATTTTGGTGAAAAAAAATAACTGCAACTCGTTACTTTGGAAAAATATAACCAATAACGGTAGCTAATAACTTTTAAAAATGTAACGAAAAAATTAGCCAGTTACTTTTTAAGATATATTATATAAATTATTCAATATCTTTTACAACGACGATTTCCAAAATTCAAAATTACTGTTTATTAAATACAATGTCTCATTTACATGAAGAACTCCCTTAAAAAAAACTTACCAGCCTTATAGACGAAAATAAAACTTTAAAAACAGTTTATCATCAATAAAGTCATACTAAAAATTTTTATGGAAAATAATATTATGTTGTTGTTATTTATAATTTTTCGGTAAAAATAAATATTGACATATATTTTTTTCGCAGATTCAAATATATATTACAATGCGTCCATAGGCCAATTTCTATAAAAAAATAAATAATTCTTAGATAATTTAAGGTAGAACGATTTTTGATACATTACTAATGAATACTATTTTTTAGCTTTAATATGTTTAAAAAATATATATGTACATACGTTTGGAAAGCAAATAAAAACCTTTCTAAAAAACGAATAAAGAGAACAAAAGGGACGCTAACCCAAATAAGTATCAGGAATTAAAAATTGTATGGTTAGCCATTTTGAAATTTATGAACAACCACTCGAACCAGGGGTAATATGGACCCAGGCGAGTTCAGAACCCTATAAGAAAATAGGTTTCGAGTTCATAATATCAACACTTCCATTAAATAGAATTAAATTCCTGAACCCTATTTAGGTTTACATATCTGAAAAACCCAAACAAATTAATAATACGTTTTTTTTAAAAAAATATAAGTAAAACGCTTAATTTTTTCAAAACAAAATAATTAATTTAGAAATGAATTGTAAAGTAGAATATTTCATTAAAAATATTCTTTTTTTTTAGCTCAGTTAATTTTGGTAAAGAAAAAAAAATGATTTTCAATTTAACAATAATAATTTATATAATTAAGTTTCTACTAAAAAACAAAGTCATATTATTTTCATTTATGCATTTAAAGAAAGAAAAAAGATAGAAACTGAGTCAACTTAGAAATAAAAATATTTTGCACAAGATAAGCTGCTCAGACCTCTTCACCTGCAAATTTCTTATATATGTAAAAAATATATAACAAACTTTAGCTCTAAGCTTTTGGGCCATTTGTTCGAATTTTCCTTTTTCGTAAAACTTGAAAGCTTTGGCTCTTGTATGTCTAGCATTTCTTGAAGTTGGACCACTGGTTCCACTAGGACCTGCTATGGGAAGGCGAGGGTCAAAAAATTTGCCTAATGTATTCACTTCATCAGTCGGTTTCTCTTGAATAGCAATTTTAAACTCTTCTCTCTTTCTGGCCCTTATGTTGGCCTATTAGTAATGTTAAAAAAATATATTATTAGGATTAATATGATATATTTATGTTTGGAATGTAAAATTAATATTAATAGAATAATGATTATAAACAAAATGGTGAATATAAAAAAATTAAAATTAGGTAGCAATTCATTATAATCAGAGATGAACCAATAGCACATCTTGAATGCCAATATCGCAAATGCTGATATATAGCATTGGCCAATACCAAATTTTTTTTTAAAATTAAATATTAGAGGTGTAATACAATACCGTTTATTAGAGGCCAGTCCAAACTGATCTATTCAATAATCACTAATCTGATTTTATTTGTTATACATATTATATATTTAATACATTTTATTTTTCAAGTCCATCTAGATACCACAGCTATAACATTTTACTTTAAAACAATACTACACTACGATCAAATTTTAATTAAACCTATCATTCAATATTAAGTATTTTAAAATAGTAAAATGATCCTTTTTTCGTTATGAAAGTTTTCTTATTGTGTAAAAAGTAGAGAATAACACTAATTTATTTGTGATCAATATAAAATATACCTGCAAAAATATGAAACGAATATTTGCATTATCTGTATTCGATTCATATTTTGGAAGCAAATAATTTTATTATTCGATTTGATTCGTCGAAAATTAAATTTTTAAAAAATATTTTCAAAAATGAAAAAATTGGTTATTAAAAGTGATTGTGGGATAAAAAACTTTAAAAAAAATAAAAAGTTTTGCAAGTAACATGATAAAAACTTAAGAATTTTTTTGAACATTTACAAAATTTCTGAATAATTTAAAATTATATGAATATTTCATGTCATCTTAATGTATTAAAATTTAAGGAGACTATTTAGACTAATGTTAATTTTTTTGACAAATATCAGATTCTAACTCGTGATAGTCCATCTCACAAGCGAATGCTTTGCGGAGCTTTTACGTGTTTAATTATTTTGTATTGTATAAAAAACATGATTATAATATAAATCAAGGGGAAATTTTTTTTATAAAAAAGGGACTTTCAAAATTGGCTATCTATATAGAATAGAATAATATCTTTAATTTAGTCAAGATAAAGTAAATATCAATTAATGTAATACTTGATGGATGCCATGGCTCAGGTAAGATTTTTATTATAAAATTGAAAATGAATTTAAAAATTTTATCAATATAATAGCCATACCAATTTTAAGAAAATGAATATATTTTGGTTATCCTGATTAATGTTTCTTTTATGTTTTTAATTGAATTTTATTCATTTACTATAAAGAGCAGAGACCTGGAGACTCTGCCTTAAGCCTGGGTGCATGGACCGGGTATTTTTTTAAAAAATATATTCCAGCCACGATCTAAAAAATTTTTTTTAAAAAATAATTGGGCCAGGATTAAAAAAATATTTACCTGGGCCAGGCCAAATATTTTAAATCGCCATTATTATTTATAAAAATTAAAAATATATATTTAAAAATTATGTATCATGAAACAATATATCACTTGACAATCATATTTCCTATTTTCATTTATTTGATTCTTAGGAAATTGTTTCTAGTGCAAGATTCTATCAAATTAAAAGCAATAAAACTCAATTATATAACACACTTTTTAAGATAAAAATTTATTTTTGATAAGTATCATTTTCTCTCTCTTTCTCTGTCCTAAATTTAGACAATTATGTAAGTTGCCAGGGAGATATTACAAATGACTGATATATATATTGGTTAAAATAAAAGTATTGGTGCATCTCTGATTAAAATATTAAATTATAATTGATTTAAACCTTCAGAGTTGGCATAGGTTGTGCTATTTGTATAGTTTTACCACTTGAGTCAACAGTCCTTCCATATTCATCTAAGATGAGAGGTGTAGGTTTGGTATTGGTGGCCTGCATGTTTACATCTAAATTGGTGTTTTCCATGGCAGTGGATAAAATAGGTTTAGTAGCAAATGCAGACTGAATTCTGGCATGAAGCTCAGCAGCTTTTAAAGCTTTTTCTGCATCACTCAGATTGAGAGCTCTATTGCTTGATGTTAAGGGAGTCACATTATTATTAGTGGTTACACTATTGCCCATATTTTGTTGCTATAAGTAATAATTTAATGAATATGAAAAATTATCAAACAAATATAATTTATACATATAATAATATCAAATAAGAAATTAACTAGTAATTGAAGCTGTTGTTTTCTAGCTTCAATATTTTTTTGAGCATTTGCCATAATTTCCTTAATTTGATCTTCATTCATAATTGTATTGGAAAGTAGGGATTGTTTTGCTTCATTATCTAAAGCATCGATTATATCTTTTTGAGATAGTTCTTCATCCAGCTGCAAAAAAATATGTTAAGAAATAAAAGTTCATAAAAATTATACTTTCTGACGTTTACTAGGTTTAAATGCAGGATCAAATAATTTAGAATCAGACATCATATTAAATATCTTATTGGCTAGCTTCAGGGCTTTGCCTTCATCCAAAAACGTGGTAAGCTTTTCTATTATACATTTAATATAATCTAAAAATTGAATTAAAACTTGAAGTCTCATATTTATCTAGGCCATTATTTATACAATTAATAATTGCTTTTCCGAGAGCTGGCTCATCAAAGCCAATAAACTTATGAACAGTTTTATCAACATAATATTTTAAATCTTCCATTTGATAATTTTTGTTTCGAATAAATGTTACACAACCTGTCAGAAAAATCAAATTTGACAAGGTGATTGCATATAGATATATGTTTATTCCATATATTTTATTCGATAGAAATTACATGACAGCAGTATATTGCTCTAAAATTTGACGGGAGGGGGTTAGGGCTATAATTTATATATTATGAAAAAAGATGATATATACAAAATCGATTTTCTAAATTAAGAATATGAATGAATATTATTTTTATTACATTTTATATAAAATGTCATTAATAACACCGATATCTTTTAAAATTTATATGTATATAAACATAAATTAAAAACTTTTTGATAAATCTTTCATATATTTTCGTAAGATTATATTTTTTTTTTGAAAAAATTTCATACGCACCGCAATGACTCCTTTCCCATATTCTGAATATTTATTGATTTTAAATTTTCATAATATTACTAAATGTCCCGATTTGAATCAGTTTTTTTAATAACCCCCCGATTAAGATTTTTGTCTGAATCTCCATAAACGGGGGGGGGGGTAGGAACAGTTGGCATTCAATTATTTATTTAGGGGGGGGGGGGTAGGGGTTATAAAACTTTAGGGGGGTAGGATAAATTTTTTGAGTGGTTATCTACAAAATTTTTAGATGAAATAGAACAAAATATGCTGCTGTAAAAATTAATACTTTTATTATAGACTTATTTTAATACAATGATATTGCTAATCATCGACCAAATAAATATATATATATTTATTAACAATCTGAAGAAGAAGTCTTCGGAACACTTGATTCTAAAATAGAGAATGTTTAAAAATGTTCATTTTATTTATATATCTTATGGTTTATATAATATTTTTACAAACTAAAATTAGAATATAAAATTAAAAAGTTGTTATATGTTGATTGATTGATTTTTTATTTAACCTAAATAGTTATTATAGCCTTAAAATATATATTTCGTTTAAATTGTTTTTTATAATACATATATATATATACCTTATTTTATATTTATTTTTAGTATCATTTTTTAGTTTTTGAATAAAATAATTATAACTTAAAACCGTTTTTCTTACCATCGTTATTGTATAACATGGTGCGGCCCCTTACCATCGTTATTGCTATATAACATTATAAAACAAAAGTAAAATTAAAATAAATTTATAATTATAATTTGAATAAACAGAATTAAATGAATGCGCGTTACATAAATTAAAACATAATACTATTCAATAACCAAAATATATAATATTTTAATTTATTAATTCCTATAATATAACATTCTCCCTCTTCTAAAAAAGCCTTCCTATAAGTTCATCTAAGCATTAATAGAGTGTTTGTTGTCCAAGTGGTTTATCGTTTTGGTCATCAAGTTGTTTCATAAGTCATTGTAATCGTTGGCTTGTCCCAATCGTTGGTTTGTTTAAATCGATTTAGCACGTTGGTTTGTTTAAATCGTAAGCTTGATATCCTTATCGTAAGTTGTCCTTATAAATCGTGAATTTGTCATGGAGCTTGTTTGTAGTACTCGGTCGTTATTATTATCAATTTTCAAAATTGTTATTATCATCCGTCAGTCACGAATAATTAGAAATAATAATTCATCAAGTTGGATATAAAAATAAGTGAAGAATGATAAATCAATAAGATTGTTATATAAATTTTCAACGTTTTAATTTTTCGCGTTTTAGTGTCTATAGAAGAATGCCCCTTACTCTCAACCCTTCCCTTTAAAAAATATAACTTATCAATCCCAAACAATCTTTTTCTAATAATTAAATAAATACCAACAATAAACATTACCAACTAGGACAATCACATTGTTTAATTTCATGTTATACCATATTTTATTTATGTTCACATCAAAATAATTTATAAATGTTTCATATTCATAAAAATGTTTCATATTCATAAAAATGTTTCATATTCATAAAAATGTTTCATATTCATAAAAATGTTTCATATTCATAAAAATGTTTCAATATTCATAAAAATGTTTCATATTCATAAAAATGTTTCATATTCATAAAAATGTTTCATATTCATAAAAATGTTTCATATTCATAAAAATGTTTCATATTCATTTATTCATAAAAATAGTTCAAATCCCAATATTCTTTGTTCTTTCCCAGCTGACATCTTCTGATCTCCCCTCTCTCTTCTTCCCCCAAGGAAAAATTTATTCCTCATGTCAGAAAATAACTGATATTTTATATATTATATTAAATTTATTTCTTCTTTTTTTCAACAGCTACAACAATGTCCAATTTATTATTTCGCGTTTTAGTGTCCGATTTATTTTTTCGCGTTTTAGTGTTTAAATTTATTTTTATTCATAAATTAATATTTATGCAAATAAATATTATGCCCATTTCCCTCTCTTTAAAAAAAAAGTTTAAATTTTACACCCTAGTTTTAATTCAAAAAAGTGTATTTAAAATAATAATTCTTCCTAAGGTGATTTTTAGAAAATGATCTCCTCATCACATCTAATATTTTTCTAAAATGAAGATGTTTTGTTTTTACAACCTTTTGTCTTCTAAGCTTTAAATTTCAAAAACTTTTTATCACATTAAGTATTACTTATAAGAGTTATATTAATTTTATAATTTTTTAAATCAATCATATGATTTAAATCTTTAAATTTATATGCTTCAATTACTTAAAATTATAGTTTTATTTTCTTTAATGTTTTATCTTTGTAATATTTTTTAATTGTTTGTACCTAAGAATTCATCTTTAGGTAATTCAGTTAATTTCCACAATTGGTCATAATTCAAGAAATCAAAATATATGAAAAATATCAATTGGCATTTTACTAAGAAATTCAACTTATAATTCATTATTAAGTAAATATTTTTTAAGGCTTTTTATGTATTCAAATATGTCCATTATGATTGATTTACATTAAAGTTATTTATTTAAGTTAATTTATACCATAATCCAGGCATATAATTTTAATTTATAATAACTTTTTTTCTTATGCGGATTTTAGAATTAATTGTAAATCATCATTGGTTACACTATATAGAATTCATGGCCTATCGTCCAACTTCCATATCAGTTCTTTCTAGGTGGTCACATTAGATTAGGTGTTGGTCATCATATTCCAGTCCACCACCCAGAGCCGGGGCACCATGAAGAAAGAAGCTTTTGGCGTGAAAGAACGTGCTAGGGAATTTTTTTGGTTCTTGGTCATCTCATTAGGTTAGGCATTGATAATCACATTCAAGTCCACTACCCAGAGCCGGGGTACCATGAAGAAGGAGGTTCTCGGAACACTTGATTCTAAAATAAAGAATGTTTAAAAATGTACATTTTATTTATATTTCTTATGGTTTATATAATATTTTTACAAACTAAAATTATAATATAAAATTAAAAGGTTAAGTTGAAAAGTAAAACTAAAATAAAAATATAATTTACGTGATACGTGATATATGGCGCTTTTGCCCTCTAGCGTTGAAGGTTCAACAAAGCTACGCTAGGTTTTCCTTATTTCCATCTAATTGGAAAAATTTAATTTGGGTATAAAAGTAAAAATATGAGGAGCCCTCTACACGTTTGTGGGCAAGCCGCACGTACTTGTAGGCACAAAACCTCTATAGGCTTATTAAAAAGGAGTAGGGCAAAAAAAGAGCCTATACCCGAGAACTACAGTATAATTTAATTACTTTAAAGGTGGGTAATGGCTGATTTTAAGGTTAATTTCTTTAGTGTAAGTTATAATTACTATCAATATTGAGATATAATGTTCATTGAATCTGTAAATAAATATGTATAAAATAAAATAATAGTTACCGTTCTATCACTTCAAATTTTCCACCGGATGACAAATATAATTATGAATCAGATCACACAAATTATTTAATTATAAATATAGATGTAGTTGGAGATATATGGTTCAATATATAATTCAAAAAATTAGGAACGCTTCACGATTTTGCGTGTCATCCTTGCGCAGGGGCCATGCTAATCTTCTCTGTATCGTTCCAATTTTATTATATGTACCGCCGAAGCAGAATAAACAGAATTAAATGAATGCGCGTTACAAATTAAAACATAATACTATTCAATAACCAAGATATATAATATTTTAATTTAATAATTCCTATAATATAACACAATCATAGATATTATTTTCCAAATAAATCTTTCTTCTATCCTTTAAAAGGATTAGACATTCTAAGCAAACTCATATTCATGCCACCAATATGCTACAATAATTCATTCATTGTAAATGATGGGTTTTTTAATTGAATTCATGATCTAAAATATAACTCTTTTATATTTATAATATTTTGTTAGCTGGTAGTAGAACTAAAATAATTTAAGTTATTCTTTTTAAAATTTATGAAAGGAATACCAGTATAATTTAAAAAGTGTAATTAATAATGGGAAAACATCGCTGCCGAATTTTTTAGGAGGGTAGGCTTGTTTTTATGTGTCTAAGTAATTGAACTTAGGATTAAACACCGCTCTATTTCAGCGGTACGGCATATGCCGTTATTATTATTTTTTGGTTATTGATTATGTGCTTAATTAAATAAACTTAGGATTTAAATCCGCCCTGTGTTTTTATGTGTCTAAGTAAATGAACTTAGGGCTAAACACCGCTCTAGCGGTACGGCGGTAGTAGAAGTTAAGCGGGGAGGAGTGTTGTGTTTTTAATTATTTTATAATTTATATTATCTTTTGTTTGTACAATATTCGTTTATAAGTGATGTGTTTTTTTTTAAAGAATACTACAATTTATATTTTTCTTTGTTACGATTCGCTTATACCTAGCCTGTTTTGATTTTCTCAAAACTGGTTCTAGCCAGTTTTCGAGATTGACGATGACATGAAATTAATATTTTGTTATTGTTGTTGGATTGTAAAAAGGGGTACTATATAAAGACCTCCTAAAATGAATTATGGGCATTAAAAATTTTACGTCGTTTTGCTTCTTGATTATTTTTATTGTAGATTAAATTAATGTTATATTGATTCTTTTTTTTTTGATTACCTATGGAGTAAAATAAAATTTATGTTACGATAATTTCCC